GCGCTGGACCCCCTTCCCTGGCGCGCGGAGCGAGCCAGGGGCGGCGCCAGAGGCGCCGCAAGGGGGGCCCCAGCGCCGATCCGAGAAATCCGCGCGGACCTCCGAGTTTTTATGTTTATGCCATTTTTTGTTCCCCTAAAATTCCCCCTGTAGGGGGACGGGCCTGACCGAACTCTGGAGGGGCCGGCCCCTCGGGCAGCGGGGCGTGCGGGAGCGTGTGAGGGATCCGGACGCCGGGCCTCCAGGAGCGGAGACCCGAGGAGGAGAGGGTGCCCCTGAGGCCCGGCCTTGCTCATGATGCTCCAACCGACTTTAGCCTTGATCACCAGGAAGAATTTCGAGCGCCCCAAAAAGTACCGAAACTCAATGGTTTTCACGTGTCGAGCCCTGGGAGACACTCGCCCGACACTGTTTCGACACTCTTTTGACACTTCTCTGGGTGCTCGAAATTATTTCTGGGATGTGGTCCTTGAGTACAATGGGAGCAACATAAGCCTTGTCGTCAGCTTCCCCTGGCGAGGCCTCCTGGGAGGCCCTCGTCGCTGCCGCCGGATCCGCCTCGAGATCCTGGTCGGGACCCACCCGGGGAGAGGCCGCGGGGTCCGTCTTCTTGATGGCCCTGCAGGCCCGAGAACGGGCACAGGAGCGGGCCCGGGAGGCCAAAGTGCTTTTTCAAAAAGAAAATTATATCGTCGGAGGTCCTCGGCGGCGAGCCCAGGGGAGGGGGTAGGGGAGGGGGTAGGGGGTAGGGGGAGGGGTAAACCCCTCCCCGAAGGGGAAGAAGGAGGTTGGAAGAGGAAACTCTCTAGACCACCGACGCCCAGAGGGCTGGTGGGATTATATCGTCGGAGGTCCTCGGCGGCGAGCCCAGGGGGGGAGGTGGCAAGGGGTGGGCCTTCCCAGACGGCTCGGAGGCCCTGGTGGCTCGGGCCTGCCCCGGAGTCGCAGGAAGAACCTCTCGGAAGGCGCGAGGGCCTCCGAGAAGTGGTTCGGGCCCTCCCCGGAGGTCGCAGGAGGCTTCTCAGAAGGCGCGAGGGCGTCTGAGAAGTGCCGCCGCCGTCTGAGAGTCAGGAGGGAAAAATACACGCAGACACAATTCATCGTTGCTTTCCCAGGAAATATGGGCAGTGGGGGAAGACAGAAGCCCAGATAATATGGGAAAACATGGGTCATCTTGTTATTTGTGTGTGTGTTGATTTGTGTGTCCCAGGGCCCCTTCCGTCTGAGAAGGCCTTCTCCCTCTCGCTTCCCCCCCCCCGCCCTGGGGCGTGCCGCCGATCTCAGTTCGCGGGCCCCAGCTCGGATCGCTGGCGCCCGCTCGGGACGATCCCGGCATCCCCGACGCGCTCTCGGCGATGCGCAGCCGCTGGAGCGCAGATCCCGAGGCTTCAGTCGGGCCTGTCCCTCTGCAGGGGGAAGATTCAAGAATGATTTTAAAACTAGTCTGGGTTACTATTTTTGACCACTTGGGGGCATTTGTTGATTACAGTGAGCGGCTTGAATAAGGAACACTTGCTTTTCAAAAGGGGCTCGGTCGTTCCTTGGGTTTGCATGCGTTATTTGCAGTTCCTTGTGCGTTACTTGTTATTTGTCATTCCTTATGCGTTATTCCTTGGGATAAAAGAGGGGATTCGTTCCTTATTTATCGTTCCTTAGGTCAGGCCGATGACTGTAGTTGTTGACCATTTGGGGGAGACAGGCCCGACTTGGCCCGAGGCCGAGACGCCCACCCAGAGAACGACGACGGCGCCCGAGCTTGCGAGAGCGCCCGCCGAGGCCCGGGACCGCACGCCGCCCCCCCGCTCGCGGGTCGTCCTGCGGTGGCCCCGCGCCCGGCCGGCGCGGGCCGCCCCGCGCGCGGGCGGGGCAGCGACCTCCTCCTCCTCCTCCTCCTCCTCCTCCTCCTCCTCCTCCCGACCGGGCAGGTCGACCCCGCCAGGTACCCGAGCTTCGCCGGGACGGCGCAGGAGAGGCGGAGCCGGCTGGGGTCAAGTCGGGCGTGTCCCCGGGAGGAAGGCTCAGAACGAATCAAGAGACAGTCTGGGGACGATGTTTGGTCACTATCTCGAACTATTCCCGGCCCTCCTGTGGTGTCGGGTCCTCGCTATGAAGAGACAGCGACTTTGAGGGTAGCTCTTTGGGAGATGTTATAGTATCGGGAGCATAGCTCGCGCGCCGCTGCCTTGGGCTCAAGGCACGCGCGCCCTATTTGCCCGGACACTGCTTGTGTTCGCTATGTGCTGGAAAGATCATTACATCGATCTTATCCTATCTTACCCATCCACCCCTCATACTGTACCCTCACAGCAGAGCGATGGATGCTATTTGCCAGGCTATATGCCCTATTTGAGTTACCAGGCTCACTTTCGACTTGGTAGCGGAGCTGGCCGCACTCTCGTGTGGTCAGCTCTTGCTCTTCTCAGCCTCACATTCTTCGGCACGATCTTCGTGACCACCTACTACCCTGCGCCACCACTCCCAGTACATTTACGAGGATCTATTCAAGAGCAAGAAGCTACACGAGAGGTACGACGTCTAGACGACCAGATTGGTACCATATACGCTTCATCATTGCGTTACTATCAACCGCTCGGCAACGAGCCAATAACGCAATACCTGAAGCAAGGGCGGGGAAACCCGCCAGACAGAGCGCCTCGAAGACTCGACAAGGCGCTACCCCAGCGCGACACCGCTCATCATAACCGTCCTTCGTTACACATTCTCGGGCTAATCGTTTTCGCTATCATATGGTTCGCGCTGGGGGCAGCAATCGCACACATGCGTCGGGGAGATAACAGCACCGATGGGCAAACACATGGCCCATATTGGGACCCTCAGGGTAATGTACCTTTTCGTGAGTACATTTACGAGGTCAACGCGTGGCTCAACGTTACAAGCGGACGTATGACGCCACAGGCCCAAGCGGCCGCAATACAACGCGGCCTGGGAGGCCTAGCGAGGACACTCGCCATGAGGGTACCGCCTGACATCATAAACTATGGTGCTGATATCGACGGGGTCCACACAGACCCAGTAACTTATATCATGTTTCTCCTCAGCATGAAATTCGAACGCCTGGAAGATGAGCGACAGCTCACTTCCGGCACAACTTATTGACTTCCATGTGCCTCACGGGGAACGAATCGATGTTACTCTTACCCGATTCGAAATGGCCCGACTTGAGGCACAGTCGGTGGGATTCGACCTTCCCAACTTCCAACTGTTAACTACTATCCTATTCCGCGCCCTAGGCGTCGGCAACCAGAAGGCCATGCAACTCTTACAGCCACTCAATCACCAAATGCCTCGAACACAACAACAGTATGATGAGCTGCTGGAAAGGATGCGTTCGGTAGGCCACCTATCCGAACGATCTCCTGGCAACATAGGATCAGTGTTTGGAAGAGGAAGGGGATCTGGTAGTGGAAATTTCTACACTACCTTGACTACTGAAGCCCAGCCTGGAAACGGGCCCTCAAACATATGGGCCGATGACCCAGGAGAATCCACTGCTTTATTAGCAGGGGATCGATCACAACCAAGCTGGGCAACCAGCCCTCCTTCTAGAGAACCACAACCACACCGCTCGTTATGGGGGGAATCAAATCCCCTAACCGACGGTGTATCCACCTATTTAGGAGACGAAGATTTCGACTCCGGCACCGATACAGACACTATATCATCAGATGGTGTTGAAGCTCTAGATTGGTCAGATATCATGAATATGGATAACGACAATCAGCGTGCTGAGCATTTATTCTGGCTGTTACAACAGGCTAAACGAAGGTGGAGGAGGTTCACACGAAAACCAGTGCGTCGTGTTAGAAGGAGGATACGCAGAAGTTTTAAAGGAAAGGGTAAAGGCAAGCGTGGTCGTCGGAGGTTGAACGGGCGAGGTATCGCGGCATTTCTCCAGAGGCTCTCAGATGAACAACATGATGAGATATTCTTTGGGGGAAAAGGCCGTGGTAAAGGCCGTAGAGAGACCTCAGGTAAAGGTAAAGGTAGGCGGGGAAACCCGCGAGGTAGAGACGGCCAGGTTCTCAAATGCCATGAATGTGGTAGTTCCGACCATCTTGTGCGAGATTGTCCAGCGAAGGGAAATGGAAAGGGCATGTCGTCCGAAGTCCATTTCGGCTCGAGCACACCATCCATTGAGTATCTGAGCCTCCAGGACTTTGAGGCTATGGAACAGATATTTTTCACATGGGTCGTTGGCATGGACAACATTGACGAGCTCGAGGGGTATGGTCATGGATTATACGCGTATTACCTCGAGTACGTCCGCCGGTTCGTCACGGGCAGTAATGAACTCACTCCCGTGGAACACGGTACGCTCGGAAACGAGCCTCTTTCCTTCTTCGACTGGATGTTCGGGAACCCAGGCAACATCATGGCCTACGAGAGCGACGACGAGGACACCACTATAGAGGCTTCGCCTTCCGAGGTTCAACGGAACCTCGAACCTCCGCCCGAAATCCCGCCTGGACACAGGCCTTTTCTGCTGGGAGAATATCCCCATACTATTGAAGACCTAATTGAAATGGAGTCTCAAGCATTTGTTCAGGCCTTCATTGCAGGCGAACCAGGTTCTCCGTTCATACCTCCTGGTTCGCTTGCTCCAGGCGAATATGGACCGCGTACACTTTTGCAGACCCTCATGTGGATGCATGAGATACTTGCAATTGCATATCCTGAGAGTCAAGAACAAATTGAAGCTGGTATTATGACAGAACAGGATAATGATGCTTGCGGTAGCTCAGAGCTACTCTTGGCAGCTTTGACTCTCATTGACAGTATAAATCCTCAGGAAGTGCAGAGACACTTGATATACTCCCATGGTAGATGGCGTCGTGCCCTGGAAATGGCAATGGCTATGCGTGGTCATGATCTTCCCCCGCCAGGATGGAATCTCCAGGAGCTGGGGATGAGGCCAAACCATACGGCCATGCGTAACATTGCTAGGCAGCCTATGCTCGTCGATGACCCTGAGCCGACGACTGCGCCTCCTACTCCAGGACAGCCGAGCGACGCCCAGACGCCGGCCATGCAGGGAAACCTGCCTTTACCAGATGCGCCAATGGCCATCATAATTGGTAGTTCGACATCAGAAGAAGTAGAAGGCGATGGTTGTGGGTTAGATGAGGATGACGTCACCATCCTCATGATGGACGTGACTGGTGAGGAAGAGGTCGATTTCGACCCTGATGAGTCTGAATCATCATCACCATCGGCACAAGAGCCACTTGCGCCGAGCTCCACCCAGCAGGGAGACCTGCCTCCATCGAGCGATCCATCTGGGATCGCAGAGGAGCCTCCTCAAGCACCTCCAACGGGTGCCGCTCCTGCTGCATCGGCAGCTTCTTCTGATGAGAACACCAGAAGATCTCGTTCCCATACGCGCGTCAGAGAAGAGCCACATCCCCAGGCTCGACTTCCTCGTGAGTGGAGACAGGCTGGCCCAAAGGAACACGCTCTCAGAAGAGGTGGCCAGCTACTTCCGCACAACGACCCACGACGCCGAAAAGGGGAACACTCGGCCTTTGGCCAGGGCAATCCTGCCTATAGGGACGGCGATGGCAGGCCCATCCGTGGAGGCTATCAGCTTGCAACAAACATCCGCCGCCCTGAAATTCAAGAAGCGCGGACCCAGTTGCGAGATATTATCGCGGCTCGCAAGCAGTATAGGCCTCACGCTGCATGCGGTCCTTGTTCCCAGCCGTTCCAGAATCACAGGCCAGGATGCCCCGTTGGAAACAACGAAGGCCTGAGCCCCAACAGGGGCAAAACCCCTCCTAAAGAGGGCCATCCGCCACTTGACCCGATGACACCGGAAGAGATCGCAGTAGTGAATAGTCGTCTCGGGATCTTGGGCCACTTGGATCCGAAAGAAGAAGAGAAACCTACTCCGGCTCCAAGGGGAATGGTAGCCATGACCCAGGAAGAGAAAGACGCGCTCTTTAGTCTTCCTGGTATGCGAGGAAACTCGCCTGGCGTCTCTAGCCAGTCCCAACAACCAGAGCCGATCATCAAGGACGAGACAAAGGCTCAACGTGTGGCGGAGGATGAGGAGCGTATTCGGACAGTAGAAGAACGCACACGCGAGGCAACTCGCAAGATGTTGGAGGATTCCAGCACGATCTACATGAAGGGGGCTAGGAAGCCCCCACTCCCACTAACTTCGAAGGCTAAGAGTGAACCCCCGACACCTAAGCCGTCTCCGGAGCCGAAACCGAAGGCGAGCTCTCAGAGCCCTGGGCCAGACGTGCATATGGAGGTGCCTCGATCTGCGACGCCGAGGCCGCCAATTGGCGCAACTCCTCCACAAGCGTTTGTGCCCAAGCAGCAACCTCAGGACCCTATGGAGGAACGAAGACGCCCGCTTAGTCGCAGCAAGTCCATTGCGAAAAGGGCGGCAGCTTTCGAGCGCAGTGGGTATGCACCTGCGCCAGCTTCGCCTGTGGCGGCTCGTTCCAGGAGGTCCGATGAAGGTGCTATGTCGAGGGGTACCTGGGTGCCGAAGATCAGGGGCAGCGCCAGTCGCGCATCTCCGCGGGGAAACCCGCCAGGCGCTGCTGCCGCAGCTTCCTCCTCTTCTGGAGCCGCAGCCTCTTCGGCAACAGAGGCTCCGATGCGGGGAAACCCGCCAGTAGTTCAGCTGCACCACCCAGGAGACACATCCATTACTAGTGGGACTCCAGATCTGATTAGGGATAGACTGGCACTTCGGAAGCTCCCACCGATACGTTCGGTGGATGAGTCATTCATGAAGGAATGCAGGAAGGCCGGAATTCTTCCCACATCCAATGATACTCTCAAAATGTTAAGCAAAGCTCTCAGCAGGATATGTAGACATGCGCCAGATAAGCCACATAATCCTGTGTGGCGCCTGAGATCCTTTGATGATCATGATGGTTGGATTAACCTCGTGGAACTCGTGGCTGACTTTCCGTGGAACACAGGTCAC